GGTATCCGTTGAGAGTTCATTATTCTTTTTTTACCATTAATTACATTGGTGATGGTTACATATTGGCTTCTGCCAAACATAAATGAATCGATCCAATTATTCCAAATTTCCCCAAAACCCAGCTCATGTAACTTTCTTGATAGTACCTGAGGATTGACGCAGTCTGGAAGTTACTTCTTTGCATGATCCAAACATCTTTATAAAGATTTTGATTTGTTTGAAAATAGATAAGTACAAAGCCAAAACCTTTCTTTCCTACACGTTCTACTTCTAAACTTCATCATTCATCAGTTATTCATGGATAACTGGATAAATAATGGATTTTCCTTTATATGATACTACTTTCAAATTTACTTTTCCTGTGTTAATTTTGTCAATTGCTGTACCTACCAAACACAGATCTCAGGTTATTCAAAAAATGTTTATTGATTTTGGATGCTTTAAGTGCTCTTTTCCTTTTGAAATAAAACAATAACATTTATTAACAATTTTCACTAGTAATACCACCAGAGGTCAAATTATTTCCGAAAATTTTTTCGAGCTCATGAGCGAGAAAAAATTTCCGAATATCAATTTGACCTCGCGTGGTATTCGGTAAGAAAATTCCACACCGAATTGTGGTGGAAAAGATTCACAGCGCTTCATAGCTTTGGCAGCAATTATTTAGGCCTTCAAATTGGTAATTTCTACTTATTGTAGTAACTTCTTTTCATATTATTGTTCATGGGAGTCTCAAGTTGGACTCAATGGAAATACGTTTTCTTCAAAGAAAAAACTTGAAAAATGATATGTCACAAACATGAACATTTTTTTCAAAAAGTTTCACATTTCATAAATAATACAGTATTTGTTTGAAGGTGTTTGACAATGTTTCGTGGTGTATTTCATCACTTCGGAACAGTCCGAATATATGTATAGGTTACGTACAGAGTAGGATTTAGATTATCTTCTGTCTTTTTATTAAAATATGAATCAGATTTCCTAATTGTTTTCAGTTGAAGATACTGAATAATAAATCATAATTCAAAATACAATAGGAGCATTTACTTTACAACAAATCATTCAACAATATACCCGACTATTATGATTATTACTCAATTCTCTTGAGAAGAACGTTTGTGATTTCTGACATTTTGTCCCGTGAGACTGTTTTTCAGGAAAAGGTTTTTGGCTCCCTTCTTCTTCATGTTTGCACGAAGGATATAAAAAACTTCTGAAGAAAGGAAGAAAGTTATCAACTTCAAAATGAACTCTCCGCAAAGATGTGTAGATAATACATAATAGTTCCTTTCAGATACAAATTGAAAGAAAGATCCCACTCAAAACAACTACTTTCAATCATATGAAAACTGAAGTACATGAAAGTCCCTCTTTCCCATCCGCTTTTTACTCACAAGTATTCATTACGTTGAAGCAGATATCATTCACAGGACCAACACAGAACGAATACCAGGCTTGTCTCAATAGTTTGAGACCGAAAAGACTATTTTTAACTGTTGAACCAATGATAGGTCGGCTGGTCCACTTGAAATGAAAAAGTTGGGTTACATTTTCTGAAAAACCCTAAAATATATGCGCCGTTACTAAATACCTACCGCATATGAAGAACGCCACTCTGTTTACAAAAAAACAAAACCTAAGCTAATCCTCTGTATTGCCAAGATGAAGAAAACTACGTTTGTGACAACAGAAATAGATCTTTGACTACTAGGAAGGACGAACTCGTATTGTCTACTGTCGATAAGTCGACATCAATAATCAAGGCAAAAATAAACAAATTATCAAGAGTAAGTTAGGGGGTTTGATTTTCTTGAAGTGGCTACAAATTGTATTCTTCAGCCTCAAAGAGTTTTATAAATAACAATTGAGTGTAAAAGTAATTCCTGTAATCGAAAATTGATGAATATTATATTATGAGACTGCTTGGGTCCGGTCCTGAAATACTTCGTCTATAAATAAAAAAAAATGTTGTCACTAGTATCAGATATTTGTGAAAGCTTTTCATCATGATGTCTATCAAACGCTTCCAGATTTTGTTCGTGGTTTGCATGATCAAATTGATAGCTGGAAATGAAGTAGATTCGGTAAGCTGAATTCAGTGAAAATCTATTCATGATTTTGTATAACCATAGAATATATAGTTTATTTTTTTAATGATAGTTGACTTTTTGTTGATATTTTCGGCCTTTCCGTTGATAAGTCTTATCTGAGGAGAACTCCGACAAAATTTTGAGGTATTGTAGTTGGAGTACTGGTTGCTCAATTGGTGTTGCTCATAAAAGTTTGGGCCCGATAAAAAGAACATTTGTTCAAAGACACAATGTTAAAATATATGAATAGAGTACGTAATTGACTGAAGTCGTATTTGTCAAGAACAGCCGGCCTACTTGACGCGGGATTCATCATAATTACGTCGCGTATTTCTTTGAAATTCAGAATACCCTTTTCATTGTAATTGAAAATTTCTTATTGCACAAATAGTTTTCTATTATGATCCTAAGACTTCTTGATATCATGTATAAATTGTTATTTGTTACGGATGATTTTTAACTGAATGATTGTTGTGTTATTTTCGTGAGGTTATATGAATTAGTGATTAGTGGCAATATATTTCGGACTTTTGTAACTGTTCAATATATCGATGAGTTTGATTTGATTCACTCATTCTTCTGTATTATCTCAGTGGAGTAAGGGTCTAGTTTATTGTCATAATCATGGAAAAAGTTTGCCGCAGCAGTATTTTGCGCTTTTCCGGAGGCTTTCGATTGTGTGGATTACGAAATACTGTTGCGGAAGCTTCCCTACTACGGCTTCAGATCATATTTGTCCATATTTGTCAGGTCGTAGTCAGCTGGTGGAAACAACCCATCACATCAATTGAGAAAATACGTAATGGTGTGCCTCAAGATTCAATACTAGGGCCAACATTGTTTCTCAACGATTTGACAAGTATAAAAATTCACACTATTTGCAGACGTTACTACCATTTTTTGGCAAATGATTTAACAAAAACCATATCCATCGATATGATGAAAGTAAAGAGTTGGTGTGATTCAAATCGCTTGTCTCTAAATATTACGAAAACTAACATAGTAACTTTCAGATGTGAATTTGACAATATAACCTTTGGGAATGACATCATTGGGAACAAAAGTAGCTTAACATTTTTAGGAGTACTAATCATTAGAAAATTTGAAGATCATATTTATGTCTGGTTGTTATGCAGTCAGAGTAGTCGCAAATGAACTTGGTTTAACAGCAGCTAAGACTGTTTATTTTTCTCTGATAGAATCTCACCTGAGATATGAAATTCCACTTTGGGGCGTATGTAGTGGTTATCTACTACAAAATATTTTAATTTTGCAAAAACTAGCCTATATTTTACAGGACTATATTTGGACAAAAATTGATATTTGGGGACTTTTCAATACGGAAAATTCAAATTTGGTTTCAGTTCAGCACTCAATTGTAGGGGGTGCCACCTACAGGTCTTGGTGTCTTTAGGGGAGACACAACTTCGTTGTGCATGTATAAATCACATTTTCTAGAAGAAAAATTGATTATTTTATTATTTTTATGTGAAAAAGGTATGATTGTGAGAAGTCGCTACAAGCAGTCGTTTTCGAGATATTTCGATTTAAATCAATCGATTCAAGCGTTTGTCAAAAAGTAAAATGAATTTGATTGTTTTCTATTCAACCTAGAAATATAAACAACTAAGGTCTGGTGACCTAGAGGGCCATTGTTGAGGCGCTCCCCGGCATTTTGTAGCCTAAGCGGCACATCTTTCAGTAAAAATCTTCTTCATATCTCTCTCAGTTTGATTTTCTCGGAATAAAGAATGATCCTATGAAATTATCTCTAAGAATTTCTGTCTACACGTTGAGAGAGAACTGTTCTTGGAAATGTGATATCTGTATCGCATGAGGGTTTTCTTCTGACCACAGATGATTGTTGTGAAAATTGCATAAAGCGTTTCATGAGAAATTTGCTTCGACGATAAACAAGACTCGATAAGTTTGTTGGGGGTTAAATGAACACCAATATTTCTTGGCACAATCATGTCGCTGGAATAGCGAATATTGCTTCTCAAAAGCTTGGAACACTGCTCCGAACCAGAAAACTCTACACAACACAGCAACTTTTAATGCTTTATAAAGCTCAGATCAGACCCTTCCTTGAAGTATTATTCTCATGTATGGAGCTCCGTCTCTAGGCACATACTGAAGCTGCTGGATTCCATCCAGAAAAGAACCTTCCGCCTGATTGGTGACGCGAACTTCACTTGCAACCTTTATAGTCTGGAACATCATATAAAGGTTGGAGGTCTTGAACAGACAACGTGTAACCTCGGGCTAGTACTAGAGTGCCACCAAGATTTAGCCAAAACCTCAGTAGATAATAATATTATCCTGAGGTGGAATAAAGGGTATGACAGGAGTGAAGGTAATCGCACTGTCGACTCTTCAGCCAAGGAAGCGGCTGGACTAAGAATTTTAACACCCAGTGGCACCTACGGCCTGATGACTTCGACAACTGCGGAACTAGCTAAACGTCACACCTATGATCAATTCCTAAAGAGATGGGGTGGAATCAAAGGATGCAATCTTGCCAGGATCACCCTGGGCGAACTTGGGAAGCTGGCGCCGAATAAATATCTGGCGTTGACCAGGAAAAACCTACGCTACCTACCTAGTAGGATTTCTGACTGGTCACTGTCAACTAAAGACACACCCCCATAATATGGGGCTAGTGGAAACACCTCTATGCAGCATGTGTGAACAGGAAGATGAAACTGTTAGGAATGTCCTGTGCGAGTTCCCGGAGTTATCGTCAATAAGAGAGTGTGTGTTCGGCGAGTCTTGGCCTACACCTGCCGATATAAAGGAGATGTCCTAGTATGAACGATGACCTAGGAGGACAACCCCTCGGGGGGGGGGTCACATGTGGCCTAAGTGCTGTGGGCCTACACTCACCCTCCCTACTCAACAGATACAGATGGTATAGATCATACAAAGTAATAGAGTTTGTTAAAAAGTAGCGACCACAGAAACTGAACGGTTGATGTGAGAATATGGGAGGTTAAGAATCTCACTTTTTCTAGTGAAACGTTAAGTTTAAAAATGTGCAATGTCCAGATAAATAATGCGAAAATAGAATATTTCTCACAACGTACAGTAATGTATATGAAATACAAACTCAGTGATACATTTACTTCTGATTTTTATTACGAAAGATTCATAATTTCGCGATACGTGTTCTGCTCACGCTGGTATGATAAAATTATTTCTAAATTATAACATTTTATTCTAGAAGCATTAGCTATTACCTATGATACACTCAGATTACATATTTCTGAAGGAGGTCTTAAAATAATTATCTGACAATAAAAGATTAAACAATGGCGAGTTGTTCAAATCAATGAGATCGATCATTAGATATCGTTAATATTTGAATTTATCACTTGTTATGTATTTCAGAAAATCAAGTTTCAAATATCCCTTCTGGAACTCAAGTCTTTCAAGTGTTTGTCCAGTTTAAGAGAGCTAAATATTTGATCTTCTACAGGTAGCCAAACACATCGTATCTTCAACGAATGACAACCACCAAGGAACAAATGACGAATTGAAAGTTTTGAAAGACGAACTCCAAAGAATTTTGGAAGGTCAGAACAGAATTGAACAGGAATTGGAAATACTTGAATCAAATAAGCTAGATTTGAACGTTCTTGATGACGGCAACTCAACGTCCTCACCTGAACCTTCAGATACACTCAGGTAAGACCTGACATTTCAGTTATTGCATTCATCAAAAACATGGCGTTATTTACTGAATAATTGGGGAAGTTACCAAAAAGAATCCAAACAACGCATTTTTTTCCTTCCAAAAACACTATTTCATATTCGTAAAAAATCTCTTTGAGTATGTAAAATGTATATCAAGCAAAATATATGCAGTTTCAAAGCATATAGAAAGGTGAAACATCCAGACCAAAGTAATTTTTTTTTGAATAATTCACTAATATACAGTGTGTAAAAGCCAAATGGAATCAATTCATTATTTCGGTTACATATTCAAAAAAATCCCGAAACAAGTCAAATGTAAATTATGATTTGACATTCTTCAACATAAAAATGCCACCCCTACCTCCAACCCCCTGCGAATGACAGGTACAACCCCCAATTTTTCAAAAGGTTAGTATAGGTTTGTGATATAAAGTTTGGAAGGTCTCTTCATTCTCTATTCAAAAATGTTATTGCTTCCAAGTTTATTGCAACAATTAAGATGAAATAAATTAAAATCATGTGTTTACCGAAATTCGATAAAATACACTCAAAAACTAAAATGTAATGCAAAACGTAATGAAATGTAGAATACGAAAAAGAACTATGGATGTAAACGAATTAGATGTTCAAAATGTTCACCGCGAACGTCTTGGCAACATCCTAATCTCAAATAAAACTGTCTTCTAACATTATTTAACACATCAGGCGTGACCGACCTAATCACAAGCGTTATTCGTTCTTTTAAATCATTCAAATCTGAAAGTTCAGTTTTGTACACATTGCTCTTTACATATCCTCACAAAAAGATATCTAATGATGAAAGATCAGGTGATCGCGCTGGTCATTCAATGGATCCTCGCCTCCCTATCCACCGATTGGGAACTGTTGTATCGACGTATTGCCGGACATTAACTTCGTAATGTGGTGGTGCTCCATCCTGCTGCAACCATATCGTATTCACGGGAACTTGAGGGTTTCCTGGATCAGGATATAAATTTGCTAAAATAGTACCAAATAATTATCACCACTCAAGTTGCCCTCAATGAAAAAGGGACCAATGATATGGTTTCCTACAATCCCTGCTCAAACATCAACCTTTTGAGGGTATTGCGTATGTTCTCCCCTTATCCAGTGAGGATTTTTTGTTGACCAGACTTCCTATCTGAAAAATTGAGGGTTGTACCTGTCATTCGACGGGGGTTGAAGGTAGGGGTAGCATTTTTCCGTTGAAGTATGTCAAATTATAATTTAAATTTGATGTGTTTCGGGATTTTGTCAAAATATGTACCGTAACCGAAATAATGAATTTTCCATTTGACTTTTACACACTGTATGAGTATTCATCCTCTGTAAAAGCTATTTTCGGTTTTTTTTAGCCGTGATTTGCAGGATTTTATGTCTGATGTTTCGTCTACTACTGCGGTGGACAATATCAAAACGATGTGTTAACGGTCGCATTCCTCGATTTGGTGTTCCCGTTGTTCCAAACGCATTAACTAAGATGCTTGTATTTGACTCTGGTTTATAATACTTCATCACCGCATTTCGCATTTTTGTAACGCAAAAGGGTAACGAACAGAATATTTCCTGAGCTTTTGGGTCGTTTTATTACCTGCAGTGGCGTGGTTTTGGTTATTTATTCAAAAATAATTTCCATTAGTTCGTACTTTCATTGTCTAATATGATATAAATTGTATGCCCATCAGTTTCCTCACACCCCCATACCACTGAGAGGAATGATATTTGAACTGGCTAACCCAATAACCATTGGAGGTTATCCGGATATACATCCAGTGGGGTCCAATGACCAATGATATAAACTGATTTGAAATCCCTGAAAGAATCTATAAAAAAATTAAAAAGAATAGCGGAACAGTAACAATTATATTAAGAAAAAAAACTGAAATCACAAGTAAATAAAATACAGGCAACAATCAAAAAATTGAACTATCAACACGAGATGGAAATTATAAATTATCAACAAAAGATGAAAATTAAAAATCAAAACTTTCCAAGCCAAGTTACTTCACGACGTTTCAACTGTTAGTATCCACAATCGTCTTCGGGTGACAGGGATTTCAAACCAATTTATATCATATTAGACAATGGAAGTCCGAACCAATGAAATGCCCCACGAAACATGTTTCAATAATTACATAAAGTTAATTTTGTTATAACATGAAAAATTCACATAATAATAAGTAGGTTTCAATTAAAAGGGATATACGAGGTATGTTAAAAAAATTGCCATTACTCGCTCGAATTATTTACGACGCTCATCTCGTCGTCAGCAAGGGTTTATTGTGGCTCACACCAATTCATACTCAACCAAATAAACCCAGCTTCTCAACGAAGCCGATTACACAAACTACACCTAAACGATTTAATCTCCATACACTTTATTGGAAAAATATATCACAACATGTTTCGCTAAACATGTGATATATTTTTTCAATAAAGTTTGTGGAAATCAAATCGTTTAGGTGTAGTTTGTGAAATTACTATGGATCTTCATCAAGTAACGGCCGAATCAATCAGAAAAAAANTGACATGTGAAAAGGCCTGGTAAACATCTTAGTTCATTCCTACAACAACTGTTTGGTATCAAGCTTCGAAGGGTAAATAAACGCCTTGGTGTGAGCCAATCCTGGAAGATTCTGCCAGAAGTCCATGAATCTTTTAGCCATCCAGGTTTTCAATCTTTGTTTGGCAAAGCCTAAAGCAATGCCAATGCTCCGATGCAAGGGAGTCAGCAGCCTCATTGCCTCAGGAATCCAGACCAGAGACAATCTGGTAAGTCTTCCTATAGAGGAGACTCGTTTTTGGCAATTTGCTACCAAGCTTCCAACGCCGCTTGACTGTCCGAGAATATTTTTATTGACTTGTGTATGAGGTTGGATTCTTCCGATCTCTCCGCACACAATTCAATAGCGTCGACAAACTCCATTATCACGATAATGGCCACATTTCTCGCTCGTTTTTAATATACTATTACTTTTTTCAGTGCGGATGTTGTATTGCGTTACGTTCAGAGTTCGCAATCCAAAATTGGTGTTTATTATCAAGGTGAACCAATAAACAGCAATGATACAGACCCTCTACCCCGTGATTGTCAGGAAGCATATGACAAAAGTGAGTACCTATTACTTTACTACGAATTGAATTCGATCTCTTGATATAGCAGTAAAAAGAAGGCACTACCTTTGTCAGTCATAGACATTCATTCATTCTAGGTTCTATCCTATACTTTCAACTTTGTTTTTCAAACTGCTGAACACATTATTTAATTCGAGATGGTTAATTTCTATAACGATGCAAAACACCCTGATGCTTTAACCGTTTCGCCTTTGATTTGTGAAAATTCACGACCCGAGAAATGAGATTGACCCACTTCTGTACACACGCTGGTAGGTGGTGCAAGAATCTGAATCTGTCGCGCGTTTTTTGTTTAGATCTCCAATTTATGTATCATGGTTTCAGTTAATATAGACTAGTTGTTGCCCGCGGCTTCGCCCGCGTAGAATTTGGTAGTTGGTACTAATTAGTACTATGTTGCTGTATCGCTGCTGTTCCAATGTTTTGACAGAATTAGAATCAACGAATTGCGTGCGCTGCGTGCGCAGCGTTATAGAACAGTGCTTTCAAAAAATTGTTCTACAGCGCCATCTGGTGGTGATTTACAGAAAAATTGATAGCCTAAAAACCTTCTCTGTGAAAAATTACTTATACATGTCTAGTTTCATCACGATCGGTTGAGCGATGTAGAAGTTTATCACTTACCAACCAACCAACAAACATCCATTTTTTTATATTAGATTTATTCTAAAATGTAAACCACATTGAAATTGCGTGCGTCACTTGAGTTGCGTCATATGAGTTGTATTTAGCACCCCTATGAATGAAATTCTGAAATTCATTGGGTCTCATTATTAATGCTTTATCAAGAGTTCCGTTTATGTCAGAATATTTTACATGAAGAAGGGGTCCAAGTGATCACACCAAGAATATTCCATTCAAAAGCAGCGGTGATGTTGCTGCCCGGGGACAGATTCTGGGCATATATAAATAACAAAAAAGGTTCTACCTGCATTTCTACCTGCATGCATGTCCTACGAAAGACAATTTTTAGATACTCCTTTAGATATTCTCAATAGCTTTGCAGATTTTTTCTCAAAAGCATATATCACCAGCTCTCCAACCGAATGGAGCGATGACCATCCATATTCACAAGTCTTGAACATTCATTACTTCGAAGAAAATGAAGTATTGGCTGCTTTGAAACAGATAAAACCGAAAATGACAACAGGTCCCGACAGCATCCCTGCACTGATTGTCAGAGATTGTGCATATGTTTTGGGTCGTCCTTTGACAATATCAATAAATATCTGCATCAAAACTAATACCATCCCAGATATATGGAAATTATGTAAAGTTCGGCCATTTTATGGAAAAGGGGACAAGTTTGATGTCGATAATTATAGACACATATCAATAATATGCAACTTTGCCAAAGTGTTTGAAATCCTCATCTATAGCATTCGAGCAATCAAATTACACCACTTCAAACATGGTTTTATGAAAGGTCGCTCGACAATCACCAACCTTTTCAATGCTACCCAATATATCTCTGAAACCATTGATAGGAGATCCCAAACTGATATCATACATACGGACTCCTAGGCGTTTGATGACAGACTTGATCATGGATTACTGCTATCGAAATTGTACAGATACGGCTTTACTCTGACCCTGATCCAACTTTTTATATCATACTTCACTGACAGTCGTCAGTATGCTATATTCAATGGCTTCAAGTCCGTGGAATATGCAGCTACCTTGGGTGTTCCACAAGGAAGCAACCTAGGCCCACTTCTCTTTAACGCCTTCATAAACGATATAGTTGAGGTATTTGACATCAACTGTAGTATATACGCGGATGACCTGAAATTATATTGTGAGATCAATGGCATCAAGGACTGTCTTCAACTCTCCCTCAATCTGAAACGTGTTGTGCAATGGTGTTTTCGCAATAATCTTCCTTTAAACGCGATTAAATGCAATGTAATGACGTACACACTAAAAAATCGTTCATTTTCATATCAATATTTAATAAACGATATTCCACTTCAACGGCCTCTCACATTCAGCGATCTAGGTGTTACCTTCGACAAAAAAATTTCCTTCGTACCACACACATTGAAGCCATTCTGTCTGCTGCAAACAGAATGTATGGATTTATTGCACGAATCTCCAGATATTTCGCGAATCCATCTACATCGAAAACCTTATACTATGCTTGCTTCAGATCAAAATTATCCATAATCTGGAATCCATCTCATCAGATGTATTCACAGAAAGTTGAATCAGTTCAAAGTCTTTCAATAAATTGATGTATGATGTATGATGAAAAGAGAAATGAAAATTTCTATGTTTTTTACCACTTTTATTTGTAACTAACATTACTGCAGTTTCGTCCTATATGGACATT